ACAACGATGTTCAGGAATTTTTTGGCAAGGGAGGGCGGCCACGTCTTCTCCAACGGATGTGTGCTTATATATCTCAGCAGATAGATTAGATTAGGTATACAATCCAGCGGTCCTATCCCACTTTCCCGGTATCATCGCTGCTGGTGATACTTGATGGCTTTTAATTGCGCTCCAATATTGTTCAAGGCATTGAAGTGCTTACCAGAGCTTTTTGAAGGAATGACAAACTGTCGGTCGTAACCCTTTATCGCTCCTCGACAAGACAGTCACAAGTGTATTTAGCCACCGTTTACAGTTTTCTCTTTTTCACATGGCCACAATTTTCTTCCCTTGTTGCCTACGCACTTCCGCGAAAGGGATAGTAATTTGAAGCACTACATAATTTGATAGAGAGAAGTTTGGCGAGCTGCTGCTTGCAAAAGATGTCGTATGTTTTAGCCCAGATCTGCCTTTGGCCGCCTTCCACCGCGACGACAATTTTCATTATTAGAGATACAGCTTCCACTGATGAGTCTTGAGGAGGACAAAGTCCAACGAGGCAGTTACCCCTTTATTCGGAACCGATCGCCTCTTATCGTCGTGTCCCGGCATCACGATTTCTGTGAATTCTTTGACAATAAGCTCGTAGAGGAACTTCTTGTTGCGAATGGTCTCTCCAAATCCGCACAGCTTAGTTATTCATTGATTACGATTTTTGAAATGCACAGCAGTCAATGATAAGGTTGGACTTCTGATCTACAGAAAAAAGGCGAAGATGTTGAGATGAGTAGATTAGACCGGCAAACGAATTTACAACCACAATTCTACGAATTTCTCAATCCGAGCAATGTTCATATTCACTCTGCTTTCTCAGTATCTTTTTCCTCTCTAGCAGAAATCTACACATAAGCACAAAGCCGCATGATGTGTGTACGTGTGGTATGTATGTATGTATGTGACTTCGGTATCCAAAGATGACACTTCTATCCCCCCTCCTCCTCCTCTCGCCCCGCTACCACGCTGCGTCCCTCTTGCACAATTAGACAGTTTAAACAAGGGCGAAGATTTGCTTTATCTAATGAAAAGTTTTTTAGAGCAGCCATCGGAGCTGACAAAATAATGTCGGTATTGCAACCACAATCGAGCCTAGAACCAACAGGTAATTAGCAATGGCTAGCTGCAAGCTTTCCATATATTCAATATCTCAAAGAAAAAACAACCGAGAGAAGAATGAATGGTCACTGTTGTTCTGAGATCATACCTCTTTATGTATGCAGGTTTGCAAAAATTCGTTTCCATGTAGAGGTCATAGTAGTTGCCCACTGAAATTGACAAACACATGCTGAGCGATTAAGCTAAGTTTTTCAAATATACATCATATCGGCGACTGTGTAGAAT